TACGAGTACGCTCGACTTAAACAGGAACAGATTTCGTAATATGGGTAAATAGTAGAATACGAGATGCTTTAACAAAGAGCGTATCAAAGTCACCGGGTGTAGAAAGGTTTTGTCGTTTACCACACCGCCAAATGAAATTCGCCAAAGATGAACGGCGACGTAAGTGCGTCCCGCATTTTTCGTAGCTGGCTGGCTGGCTGACTGACTGACTAAGAGGTATCTCGAACAATGTCTAATGCATCATTGAACTATGGATCACTTGAATCTTCATTGGAGCCTGTTTTGGCGACTTGTGAATTGTACTGCGTTTTTACTTTGAATTTAAACATTAACTTAAAGTGAAGTTATGGAACAATTATCTATATGATGATAATCGTATACCTGGATTTTCACGAGAGAAAAAACGAAGACAGCTCGTTGCTGTCTTCGTTTCGTCTTTGCATATATGAGCGTTTTGTCCCAATGTGACCGCCTAACAATATCAGTTCGTTGCGAACTTCTTAATTATCACGGTTTCTTGCTTTCTGTTATAAGCTTTTTAGGCGCAAACTCTATAACACAGACTTGTTTTTATTTGATCATCAAGAGATTTCCCTGGTGACTTTTCTCCCCTTATGGCTTATCGAAATGCTCGGCACTCCTCAGCCGCTGAAATTGTTACTGCACAACAATATTTATAAATAAGTAAGTCGCTTCATTTTCGCTCTGTATAGACTTTTTTTTTTTTAAACTTTTCTATTGCTACCTACGTTTGTGTTTCTACATAGCGTCATAGCTCGAAAGAAAGATCACACGAATGTTTACTGTTACCCATTGGTATTTCTTCACTTTATTTATAAATGTAAAGTCTTCCCTACAATATATATATATATTATGGGGAAGACTTTGTTAGATATTATAGATCACCACTTTCACGTTAATTCTATATAATACACTTTACTGGACTGTTTCGGTCGCTTTTACACACGGCGTGCAATTTTCAAATTCAATTCTTTTAAGCGTGGTCGCTTGTATTAGTTCCGCATGTGTAAAAGGGTTTGTTTCATTACAGATATTAGTATTATCATTATATATTGTTCCTTGATCCCAAACAACAGCTTCAACCCACCGGGCTGTTCCACTGTTTTTCGTCTCTGTCTCGTATGTACGATAGTTAGTTAGCTGTTCGTCAGATATACTCATTTGTCTTATACAAGTTTTATAATTTCGTACTCCTCTAGCTAAGTCTGTACATATTATATTTGAGAGAACAATTCTCTCTGTGTGTGTGTTGGATAATAATAATAATAGACTTGACCTATCTAACGCTTAAAACTAGTGGTCTTCGGGCGACCCAGCTTGTCTGTTCTACAAAACCATTTAAATAATACCTTATATTTACTCGCAGTATTAAACAGAACTATTTAATCGCTTAAAAGGCGCGCAGTTCACTGAATGTTCACTACGTTTCGATAGCGATTCCAAACCTAAAATAAGATGCGCCATTCAGCCTGTTTTAGTCTCCGTGTTCAAATCTTTGTCAGCCAGTATCACTTACAATTCCCTTCTAAGTAGTGTTCGGTGCGAGCTCAGCCCACGTTGGACGAGTCGTTTCACGGGTGCTTAATTCACAGCACGCTTTCTTCGGGGTTTGTCAGACGTACGACAATTTTTGGGTTCACTCAGATTGCTAACAGAAATTCATTCATATACAATTTTGTGTCGTATGTACATGGGCAGGAGCTCCGAAGTCATGACGGTAACTACAACTGATAGGTGAACTTCGGCACTCTTTCGTGGCAGTTCTGTCTTTAACGCCCTCCTGCCAAAAACTCCCCAGCACTACCTCGACTTTTATTATACGTTTAGACGTTGAGAGACATGCGGGCGTGTGTTTTTACATTACAGAAACCCGCCAGATCTGAGCCAGCCGCTTCGGTGATTGTAGGAAACTTCATTCCGGTACGCTTCACAGGATTTCAATTTGTGGAATCTTCTTAAGCCTTACTTGTCACTTTATGTACTCGGTTCGTTCCTTAGGAGTTTAAGATCATGTCAGTTTCGTACGACCGCACATGTCTGGCATCACTACGGGGTAACTAACGTGACCGAGCGGTAATTTTAAGCAGTCAAAAAAGTGTAGGCCAGATGGACACACAGTTATTACGGCATTTTGCCTTCTGGCTGTATTGACCAGACTCAGTCCGTATGAAGTAGCTGGTGTTGTACAAAAACCTAATCTACCACTCACTATTACCGAGGTGTGAAAAACATAGTTTGAGAAAATGTACCGTACTCAATATACGTATACATATTTTAACAAACTTTAGCCATTGTTTAAATTCAACATTACGAAATCTATCTCTCCTCCGTAAAAAAGGAATGGCGCGTTTTTTCGAATGTACTTACGAGAACATTACAATAGTGATGGTGGTGGTAATGATAAAAAAATTAACACTTCTATAATACGACATTAATAATAATACTATGATTATCTAGTGATAGGCGTAATGACAAGGTAAAGGATCATAGATGTGCTTTTACATTTTTTCATACGTGTATATTATGATACACCATACAACGCAATCAAAGCTTGGGCAAATTAATTTTGGTCCTGCGGTGAGGTCTACTTTGTTACTACGTTACGACTTCCAACTGCCCAGTGCAAAGATAACAGTTTAATAAGCTGTATCCTCTATTTTCTTCACGGCAGTGTCACTCGTTTCATAATGTAAATGTCAACCCTCCCAAATCTCCAGTTCGTTTTTAGAAAATTTCTTAGCTCGTGATGTAAATACCGTTTTTGAAATCCGCAGCTGCTAAAGCAGGTATGAGTCTGCACGAGATTTAGTATCTAGGGGGTTTCGTGCTTGGTTCTATTTTCACTTAAGAAATCTGTTTTCGGTATAATTATCCATCGTGCATTAGTAACGTGCTAGCATAAAAGGCTGGACTATTCATATCATACATTATTTGTATAGTAATGATAACAAGAGGTATCATAGTGTACGCTAGAAAAATCCAGCGCTCGCCAATTTCAAAAAGCTATTGATGCAAGCTTTAGCCAGAAACGAACAAAATTGCCAGCGTCAGATAGTATCCAAAGACAAAGCCAAAGTAAAACTGCTCCGTATAATAGCGGTAGATTAAAAATGTTCAATGTTATAGTTAAGTATTGCGGGTTAAGCAGCTTCTTGCAATCGACATAACTGTATCAAGCGTCGTAGTTGGGTTGTACAGTCTATCATTCTAGACGAATATCTAAAATCAAATAAAAAAAAATATATGATCCAAATTAAAAGAGACTCAACCAACAATCTAGGGCGTTGGTCTGTAGGCATGTGATGAAATAGGGGCTGATTTAGCTGAACTATCGACAGTAATAAGGGCAATCCAATCCCATAGCTTGACAGCAGAATATTACGTCACGCCATGTTGAGCCGGTTGTCATGCCAAGATTCACTTTTCCCTTCGAGATGCATTAGTGCATCTGCTTCACGTTTGAAAAAGTTCATCATATCCATCGCTATAATTACATTCATAGTAATTTGGTCGAGTATTCTATTCGAACAGGTGATGCCCTGAGCGTGTTGCCCATTCTGTAATTGCCTGTGTTGCCCTATATTTTCGCTTGAAGCAAAGTTGAAATACAATGAAAAATACTACGCAGTTGTTTTTGTTAAGGCTGACCACCGCCTATTGAAATTTTGCTGCTATTATTATCTGCCAGAATACAACCGTTATACTAAAACGAGGAAGAAAGAGAAATAGCCTGCAACAAACAACAACATCGAGCAAAAATTCTGTTTGCTCTAGTTTTGTTCATTGCCAGTCTGACAGCGGAACGCCTCGCGACACCAGAATTGTCATCACCGATGGGCTAGCGTGTCGGTCAAATAGGCTGCCTTTCACGAGCAGCTTCTCTCGTGCAGTTGCTTGTTTGTTGTCGTCGGATAGACGCCCACGCATTGCGAGCTCACTGAAAAGCGCGGGAGAGCGCGAACTGGGACAGCGTCGGTTGTTCATCCATCTGCATCTGGCGCTTTTCAGTGTCACCGTTCCGCGATTCTTCTTGATTCGATTGGTTGAGCATCGTTATGGAAAGGTGACGATTAAGTAACTGGTGGGCGAAGCACTCGTTTCTGTTTCTCTGTCGGTCTGTGTCAACTGTAGCAACCGTTAGCTAAGTTGTCACAATGACCCGTGGACAATACGTGTGCAGAGGGGCTTAACAAGTTCGTCAGAAGCGTCATTCATCGTGCCTTATTGGTGCCACCCCAACAGCACCTGGTTACACAACAATATCACTGTGTATCGCATCCCTCGAGCTTTAAGAACTTCGCGCAGCCTCCCTTTACACCACTAGGAAAAATCCCTTTGTTGCAAAATCTATGCTATCTTCCACGTAAAACTTTAAGTAAGACATTATCGCAGTCGACCCCCCTTGCTTCGTTCTTTCCTACATCTTCCAACCAGCTCTTTCTTTGATAGCTGTAAAAGGAATTGGCTCTTTACCTTTATAGCTGATCGCTTGATAATACAACCTCATCTGTCAACAGACGCTAGGTCGGGTTGTAAGTGAAATTCGTCGCTTATATCATCCTTCCTTAAGCTACCGGATGTCTTGCACAAACCGTGTCCAGTATCGCTCAAACATATACTACTGAATCAGTACTGTACATGGTAGTGTAGTGAACCGCGGTATCGTCCAGGATCAGCTACTGGCCAACAGGGACCCGTTGAAGTCGGTAATTTTTGCCCAGGTAAACTGTGCGCGCGCCGAATAAGATACGAAAGAATCATCTTTTGCCATTCTACAACTTGCACCGCAGTGGACTGACGCAAATGTATATTTCGATTATTCATAATAGTAATAATAATAATCGAACCTTTTGAGAGTTTTAGAAGGCTCTCGTAGTCGTTAGCTAGAAACTCGTTCATAATTTTTTTTCTATACTCTTTTTTTCTTCCTTTCGCTTGTAGTGATTTTTATTTTTACACAATTTACTCATTGTTTTTCTTTATCGTATCAAAATATTTGTGTATATCTATCTTTGGCTGTTTCATTTTATCGTTATTTATTTATTTATTTATCTTTCGCCTCGTGTTTCTCTCTTATCCCATGGCTATGTAAGCACGATCGCATTCTCAGCGTATTCTACATATTGTACAGTAACACCGCCCTCGTTACTTGACGCCAGGGTGCGCGCACGCCGATGGAGTCATGCGCGAAATTTGAATTGAGGAAGATATAGGAACAAACGCAAGGCATGCCAATCAAGCGAAAGAACATAAACACGTGTTGTTCGATTATGAACAATTACAAAGGGTGGTATGAACCTTTTCGTGTTGAATTTTGTCGTTTGTAAACGTTATTTTTTTTTTTTTTTTTGTTTTTTTCGATACAGAACTGGTTAGTTTTCTATGTTCCGTTTGTTCTAGAGCACTCCCATCGTTCTGCTAGCATTCACAAATTTCTATTGCAATCTACAGTTTGACAGATTACAGTAGCTCTTAGCATACAGCCGCTATTGCTGTTAATTGCAGTTGTTGCCTTGACTGGCTCTCAATAATAATCGATTTAGCGAGAGACATAACCACTAAAACATCGCTAGCTCTGTTAAATAGTTCGAGTTTTGTCGTAGTGACTTCTCTGTATGCAGGTGTGTATCGTAGAGTATAGTTTCTATGGTAGATATCGTAGTATGATAGGTCATCGCGATTGCAGGATCTGGCTCAGACATTTACCATGTGTCTAACGTCGACTGGAAGGAAGCACCATAGCGAAACAGGTTCATAATGATATGACTGTTGTTATCGCTGCCGTAATTGTCACCATCGCCACCGCCGCGACTGGTAAAAGCTGATGCACAGACAGACGCGCCGTCTGCCGATATTTGCTTTTGCTGCTTATATAACATCACATACTGATGAAGCTGTTGTCCACTCGGCGACATCACTGATTAACTGGTTCTTGCAGTCGTCTGTGGAAGTCATCCCTATGGCCAGATCCGTGTCCGTGTCCTCCGTCTCCCTCAGCTTGGTGCGAGTGGGGGAGCATCAGCTCGAGCGCTAGCATCAGTCCAAATCCGAGGATGACCGCTGTCAACTGGAACATCCCGTGCAACGAAAGGTTCTTCTGCTTTTGTAGTACCTGTGGCAGCAACATGAATAAACAACACGAACAGCTCAACGGTCATCGAAATAAGGAGAGGCCGAACAAAACAAAAATGTCCTCTTCAGCGGAATTCACTACCGTATGAGGCACTTCTACACAAAACTAAGAAATTGATTCTGCCTTTTCTGGTAGACTGTTTACTTCGAAGCTATACTCGTTTTAATACTGCTTTAATATATATATATATATATAGCCAGATTAAATTTTGTTGAGGTAAAATCTAGCTAACGAATGGCAACTGCAGCCGGATAGCTCTAGGAAACTCGGCCTATTTTCGAGAAAATATTTACATATATTCAGGTTTCTTATAGTGAGAATATATCCAAAGCTGTTCTCTCACTTCGAAAAATGTAACGTAGAGCAGAGTGCCGGCTGCAATTCCGTTCAACACGGTAACGACTAAAGTCTCTTCGAAATGACGTTGTGTCATAATTCCGACGAATGCCCCGAGTGGCGACATCACGCTGAAAATCACTACGTAGACTAACACAGCAGTCTGCAGAACATCCAATCAGTAGAATCGCCAATTTCGCCATTGCGTTTACATTCGTTGAAAAAAACCGTTTCGCCGGAAACAAAAAACACACTCAGACACAAGAAAAATCGTATGCTTTAGCTTTTTATGGTGCGTTTATTAAAAAAGGCAGTTCTTTATCATTATTAGCAGTAGAAAAAGTAATAGTTACTGGTACAATAGTACCGTCATTCCTATTGATAAACGACAAATACTATGTTAACTGTCTCTAGTTGCATATGCCGTATGCCTGAAGTGCCGATTTAGCAGCATGGATTATTAACAAAATTATGCGGGCCTGTTGACCTTTTTAACCCCAGATGTGCACAGCTCAAAGCCCAGCACGAAGGAGATGACCAGTTTGTGCAACGCGATCGCGAGTAGCATGATCCATGTTTTCGATGCCGAAGACTGGAGACCTAACGAGAGACCCTAGAAGTATAAGATCGCATACGAGTTAATATAGTATATTTAGGCTGACTAAACTGCTATAAAGCTCTTAACGCAGTTTTGATATTTCATTAACTTTTTTACGCTATTTTTTCATTTATTCATAAAACAAAAGCATCAAGAATATGATTTATTAAATTACCTACTCAAATTATATGATTTGGTCTATACCAAGTTTCGTCGATTGAAAGCAGACCCTTCAATTAAGCCAGTATGCCTAACAATGATCTCAAACACAAAGTCGAATTGAAATCGATCTGTTTCCGCCCGTCAACATATACCTCAAACACGGAATGAAACGACAGTGCGACCACAATGAGAACCCCGCCGAAGGTTAGTGCCGGGACCTTGTTTGGCACCGCATGATTATGATTGCCGTGAGTATGCCCTCCGTTGTGCTCGCGGGAGGGCTGCACATGCATTGCGCGATTTCCACCATTGCCCCCCTGCGTGGAATTACTGGACATGGTTCGTTCCATCTGATCAAAGGTTGAAAAGTGCTGGTACGCCGAAGGTTCAGAGTTCGCAGTATTGCCCGAGGAGACTCCGTCCGCGTTCCTGAACCGATGAAAACGCCGAGTATTAAAAAGGTTTGAAACATATTTGAGTTTCTATCAAGCTGGCCTGTCTCAGTATTGACATCTTAGCTTGGTTCCGATCTATGGCTATATAAGATCTGTAAACTCGTTTAAAGATCGATTTCTAATCGATCCTTTATAGATTCCCTGCTAAATCAGAGCTATTACTTGCGACAGTAGCAAGTATCTGATGTATTGTCAAGGGTGCCGTAGCAAAGAAAAAAAAAGTAACCAATTATAAAAGCACCTACCAAATCTAGAGAAGACAGGAACAAGAAGATCAGAAAGATCCAAGTAACAGAGTGTACCTATTGAAAGTAAAACAACGCTCAAATATTTAGCGTTGAATTAGCGCTGAATTTTCACGTAATTCAACACGAATTGAAATACGTCTGTAAAAACGGCACTTACCCAAAAATAAATCACAATTATTTAATAACTTCAATCAACAAAAAATAGATAATCACTTGCAATATTATTTACTGGACTTCGAAAGTGCAATGACATTGTTACCACTACTATACCGATCATTGTACTCTGTCATTTCTGACTATTATAACAAGATGGCTCTCGCCACACGAGACGACATCTTTTAACAGATTTAGAACGTATCAAGTACCGCCCTTGAGTCGGCCACGATCGATCTAGAAAACAGATGGAAGCCGATCGAACCACCTCGAGTAATTTTCAAAACCATATGAGCAAGTCTGTCATTGTCTGTCACTTATCCAAATTTCCTCAAAATGCAGCAAAACTTAAAAAAAAAATTAGGATAATTTCCAGGCACGAGTCCGCCTAGGACAATTGAGGGCCAGCGTTGTGTGCGGTCATAATTCGGAGAAATTTCCGTTGACAGTTCCAACTACAGTTGATTCAACGTACGTCACGCACGAAAAAAAAATTAAAAAAAAAAACATTATTATGCAGATGTTTCAATTGAGTGTTTTCTATATATAGATAGATAGATACTTTCGATATAATACGAATGGTACTTCAGCTAATACTTTTTACTGTTCGGTGCTTGTAGCTTGATCTCTTTAGTTTTCAATTTACTCACTTTATTGACCGGTGTGCGTTGTACAAACATAGATAGGTCCTTTCATTTAGCCTAGGCTTTATCGTACATGCGTGTGTTACTTGCTGTAAATTTCGTTCCTTTCGCAGCCCTTAAGCGATTCTCTTTTGGTCAGTTTCGTTATTCGATCGACACTTACTAATCAAATCAGGCGCGTCAGGCTCTCTGTGTAATTTTTGAGGCGATCAAAAACTCAAATCCCCCCTAGTTTTTTTTTTTTTTTTTTATCAGTAGTGGAGATACGCTATCGAATTTGGCGTGTTTGATCATGCAACAATAAATGTTATTAAGTGTGATAAAAATCTATGTACCATACAGAGATCAGGTACCGAATTACATTAGGACAGCTCAATAGTGAACGAAATGCGTATGTGTATCAATTGTGATTTGTTTTTCAGTCTCTATCTCGAACAGGGTGCGTATCTACGTGTGTTGTACGTTGTGTGAATTTACTGTATTTTGCCTCCCTGGTCCCGTACATACAAAAACTCGTTTTCGTCGATTTCATGTGTACGAGCGCCAAATGGCGCTTTGTCTTCTACGTGACCCTGTACCACTACCTAGCACTTTTCCGCGTTTCCCCATACTTAGAATTTGTTACTTGCTTGGTGTAACCGCCGCAATGGGTTTTGCACTGTCTATAACTATGGAAAAGTCCCAGAAGATGAAAAAACAAAAACATAAAAGGACTCACAATCATCAGAAAATGAAGTATACGGACACCGAGCCATCCCTGATCTACCGTCCCCTTTTCGTTGCTTGGTTCATTCGCTTTTCGCCTGAAATAGTTAGTGGCTGCTACAAAAGTGGTCGCTGAACGCAATGTACCTGGATACTCTTTCAGACAATGTTTCGGACTGCTTAGCTGAGACAGATATGTCTTAAGCAGACATGGGCGGCAGTGTGGATTCGCTCGGGTGTGCGATCCCTAAAAAGCCGACGGAAAAGGCCTGTGAGTTTTTACTGGTACTCTGTAGCACAGAGGACAGCCACGATGGCCGCGAATTCTGACAGATAAGCACGAAAAGCAACAGCTCGATACCCGATAGAATAGCAAGAAAGAGGGGAAAATTAATTTTAAAAGGAAACAATCTATGTTTTGACGTAAATTTACAGGCAGAAATAACTTCTCCACCAGGTGCTGACCAGAAGAATGGGGCTAACCAAAAAGTAAGGGTCGAGCATAATCAGGTCAACACAAAAGGAGGAAGACAACCATATCAGCATAGGTCAACTTTTTCGGCAGTGACATTGTCAGCTTACGACAAAACAGCAGAAGTCATGAAATACACATCGGAAACCGATGTCGGACCGAAAGTCGTGTTCACGCACACTAAGTTGCACATCAGTAAAAGGCGCGTATAAACAATCGAGACAAAAGCATGCTTGTTTGCGTTACGGTAAAGATTTTGTGAACGTAAGAAATATATATTACCTGCACATAATTGTCTCAGAGTTATCAATTCAATCAGACGGCACGTTTGTGCAATCAAAAACCTCGCCTTTCTTAATCAGACTTAACCAACATGAACGAATATATCCCGCTTAATATAATAATCAACACACAACAAAGTCCACCGTACTACCTGTTCTTGCGTTTATGATTACGACCATTTTATTACATTGGCAAGCTGTTTATTCGAAAACAATGTGTTATTGCCACCGAACAATTTTCACGCCGCAAGTAGTTGTAGACTTGTAACGGCATTGGTACCAGCCACTTGTCTTCAGGCTTGTTGTCCGCGATTTTTTCCATTAATTGAACCTTCCGCCCCCGTCTTCTCATTCTGACAGCAGCTGATGCCTATATGATGTGTGCCTCCTCAGTCAAAAGCCAACTCAAGAGAGGCAGGATGAGCACCGAACCTTGTTGTCTGTTCTGGATAATTTTTGTTGTTGCCCATAAGGTTTTCAGCGTTAAGTGTGCTTATTTAGACCCAGTTAGTCTGTACTGTTTTACATGGCAAGACATTTGGAGCACCAATACACAGGGTAAGAAAAAGTAGCTGCAAATGTTGAATTTGGCATTAGTTTACTTTAATTTAGAATTTTGCAGGACGCTGCTTTCATTCGGGTTCGATTGGCTAGAATTTTACGCACGTTAGTACACGTCGAGTTCGCTGGGCATTCCTCGAAGCTCAAGCTTTGGAAAATTGGAAAAATAAGCTCTATTCGAATTCATGTGAGCTCCAATTCTATTAGCTTTTAATTATTATGTAGGAATTATACTGTGGTTTATAATGAAATCTAGAGCAGAATTTACTAATTTATTACTCGTTAGTGGCTAAGGTCGACGTTGAAACAAGGGGTGACTGCGTGAATGTAAAAACGATGCCCCATAATCAATTTCCAACGCGTTCCTCGTTTACAAAAGGACGCCGGAACTAAGTGCACTACTCAATTAAACAGTTAGCGCAAGGTCAATACTTAATTACTTACCGAGTTAGAATCGTTTAAGACGAATAAAAGACTTCTCATACCCGTTACTAATTTGTTCGATACGACGAGAGTCTGTCTATCCATATGCAAGGCGATGCAAAAACTCCTAGATACCTTAGTAACAACCTGTATGGGCGAACTTTCCTTCTCCCCAAGTCAACGAGCGCACCACGTTACAAGATAAATGTTACGGAAGAAACAGGAAAATAACTGTGAATCGGTAACTACGACGCACGAAAGAATCTACAACGAGGCCGTACTTATGCATGGAGCAGGCTTATTTTTTTTTTTTTTATAGAAGTAGTAAAGGCAAGACTACTATCAGCCATAAGACTAATTTTGAACCGGTCACAGCCTCGGGTATGGTGATGCACTCGCACCAAAAGGCGCAGTTACCCTAGTGAGTTTCGGCACATAGCGCGAATAAAAGGCTCGTCTGTTTAAACCCAATAGTCGCTGACTCCTCTTTCTGCCACAGTTATTACTGATATGAACGTCGTCGTCGGCGGCGGCCAACAAAAAGCACAAACCGCAAATGCATGGTTGACGAAACAACAACAGACACAAGCTTCACAAAATATATACGTGTGCTTGGTCGTTTCAATTATTTAACCCAGCTTATATCACCTTAAACAGATGAAGCATAATAACACCAAACAGCTTTACTCGACTGATCAGATGGTGTGAGGGCAAACAATTCATTCCGTGCATCATTGGTACCAGCGAGGTTTTGTAGGCTTTTTTGATCTACTCCACATTTGAGAATGAATGGCTTCGGAGCTCACGACTGAGAAAAATTAGAAACTTGTGAGTGATCGTTGCTGCAAGCAGATAACTCTATCCAAAGTGTATGCAGAACGGGCTAAGGTAGATACCTATGTAGTAGGCGCCTCTAATTTAACTTAATACTTATGTAAGATACAAATATAACACTAGGAAAAAGAAATTTACTTTTCCTCTCCGGCAATATTGAAGCAACATCCTGAGTCCGAACATATAGGCTCGGGCATAAAAGCCTTGCTTTTCCCGCGCATTTATTATCCTTACCTAAGAAAATCCAATAATTGCACGATTTATAAACCTAACCTAAAGCTAATTAAAAACCTAAAGTAACACTCAAGACCTTGATTACGCATAGAATAACCAGGCGAAGTCTTCGCAGGTTTCACGTCCTGGAACAATGCGTGGCCTACTCGACCCGTTTTCCATCCCGGACCGAGTCCGTTTCAGATCTCATGCTGACGTACAATCAGGCCGACCGATCGAACGCAGAGCGCCGTGACCAGAGTAGGCACGCTGTCAGTCGTTGTCGACATGATTATTATTACCATCATCTTAAACATCAGTTACAGAGAGACGCTGCAGCAAAAAAGGTATCCTCAATCGTTTCCCCTATGTCAATCATCCTACCGACGCCAACACCATGACACGTAGTGTTGCTGCTTCCAGCGTTGGCCTCGAAGTTTCAGCATAACTTTACGCGACAGAAGAGTGCAGGTGATCGTGGCAGGCGCCACCGCTGCTGTGACTTCATCATCAGCTCAGCTGAAGCAGTTTCCGTGACGGCAGAAAGCAACGGCGCGCCATTATTACAGACAACGATCTTTTTACATCAGAAGCCAAACAAAGACATCTTCCACTTCACTGTGCTTTAGCGTGGCGGCTGATGCGGTTACTAGCGTGACCATGTCACGTTTTTTAGTTCAGCAACGAGACACCAAAGGGCACCGGCGACAAACATCTACGAGCTATGACGACAGCAGAGAAACCAAGTCTAATGCTACGACTGATCATACCAAAATATTACAAATAGCAACAGCTTTAGCTGACCTAAGCTATGCTGGTTCGACAGCGCACTACGAAGCAAGGCAGCAAACTTATCGTGGTCCGTAATAATACGCAATGCGAAGTTTTTTCACGGAAGAGTTGCGTCGAACGTCAGAACATCGATGGCTGATTATTGTAGCCGTTCGCTTATTTGGTAGCTTTGTCGATGTTGAAGGGTTCTGTTTAATGGGAATTCCTATGGCACGTTACGGCGCGATTGGGAAACACTGTTATGCGTGCGGCGCTCCGTCCGTCGATCTGTCTGCGCGTGTCTCACTTTACGTGCATCTGTGAGGCGTAAACGATTTTGTATAACTGTGCCCGCGACATCACGTTTTCAGCGCGGCAGCTTGACGCGGATGAAAACAGAATCTCGAGCGTGAGAGTGAACCTCATGATGATGGTGACGAGGACAAAAGTGGACCAACCATAATTGCATCTGGCGAAGCATTCGCAACGTAATGGCTGCAACCGTAAATAGGGCTACGTTATTCCTACTAGGTACTTACTGAATATTTTACTATCTTCTACTTTCGCCTGGTCGTTCAGAACCGGCTCAGAATAGAAGACCATGCGCTGAATGCTGAATTGGCTCATTGTGGTAGAGGCACAACAATACAGATGCATATACGATTTGCATGTATATTTATGCTCATAATAATAACTAGATAATGCTATGAATGAGCTGGATGGAAGGTGAATGCGAATCCTGGCTGGCAAGGAAGCCACGACCCTATAGTTTACGCAGTTCTGAAGAACAGGCAAGGCCGGCAGAGACGGGCTTTGTTGCGAACAATTGTCAAAACCTCATAGCAAAAGAGATGACTATATACGTTTTCAGCTTTAATAGTTAACGTGGCAAGGAAACTCATAGCGACAAAGGCTCTATTCACCTGCTCTTATTATATAATTGTTTTACTTGAGTCGAATGGCGACGGTAGATAGTCAGTGTTTGCTCGTTCTTCTATCATTAGATGGACTGAACTTTCCCTTGTGCAGATATTCTCTTTTATCTATGACGTACATGTGATCATTTCGACATGACGTCTTTGAAATAATTTCTTAGTGTACTGTTGAAGTATTCTCGTTATGGGTGAAACCCATTGGCCTTTGAATGATATATATTCGTATTGCCAACCGTGTACAAATGGGCCCGATGAAGCTGACCGATGATGAGAACACACGCAGCAATACCAAGCTTGCCGAAGTACCTTACTACTTCAAGTGTCGTCGTATTCAATGATCTCAATGGTACGAAGGTCATTAGAGGATCGTAACTACTTAGTAATCACTGGCCGTCATGCAGGACTGTGCAAAGGAACTTCTGCAGGCAAACTATGAATCAATGCGGCCATCCACATGCCTATGCACATCAAACTGGTACAGAAACGTTTTTGTAACGTCATCTGCTAACCACCTATGTAACGCAGCTTTATGCGGTTACAGTGTTACTTATGAGTTAGCAGCATAATCAGACAACATAATACTTTGGTTCGACTTCTAGTAACGCGATAAGTAATAATGACAACGTCCAAAATTCAATTAACTTCACGTTGTCGGCCGTATCGGTAACTCCCTGATATTCGAAGATAGAAAAAGACTAGAATCCAAATTTACCTCTGAACTCTTCTCCGATTATTGCACAGCCGGCTGCACAGGTGTGCGAGCTGCAGTATTTCTTAGAGGTACAAAAGCTTTCGATCGGAGATCGTGGCGAATTTTTTCCGTTCTATCCGATCTGTAGGCTATGATTTGCGCGCGTCTCAAAGAGATCATGTGACTGGATAAGCAGAATAAATAGAAGGACTGCACACTGCATAGCAAGACGAATTGGATTGTACTCGTAGTCTTGCGGCTATCTCCGTGGCAGGTTGCGAAATACGTCACAACAAAACAGTCGCTGACTATGATGCTGTTGAGGCGCTGTAAACAGTAAGTCACAATTAACTAAGAACTGTACCCTGTACTTTTGCCGACGGTGTGTGTAGGTAAATAGAATCAGTAAGCATATGTTCGTTGTACAGGGGTATAATAACTATCTCGATTTATTACAAGGAGAGATTGTGCAGAACCGCAGATGTAATAACATTAACTTTTTTACGCGGCTTTTGGCTCATGTTATACGCTAAAGATCGCGGCATAAGGACGTGCTTCTGATATATTGAAATCTCCCTCGCACGGACGGAATAAGCATGATACCGATCCTTGCAACCGGGATAGACAAGATCCGGACTTCCTAAACAGCTTGAATGAAAGCACTCTACCATTAGTACCTGTACCCTAAACATGTTCGTTTAATGGCCGTCATTCCATTGCTCGTCTGCCTACCCAGCCATAACAAGTGTTGCTATCCATACTTACGTAAAAGGCACCTTCTTTGTCGAGTTCGGTGCTCAAGCAAATTATAACGCTCGCAATTCTATTGGAGCGGCGGCGCTCAAAAAGGCTATTCTTGGTGTTTTTTTTTTTTGAACAGCAGACTCTGCCGATGCTACCGTCGTATCAGTTAATTCGTTTCATTGCGTGCCAGAAAAATCTCGAAAGAAAACTAAGTGAAACACTTTGCCATATAGACTGACTCATTTTGGTGTCTAGTTCAACACTCAGCTAGACCTATACTGCCGGCGGTATTACCACGATAGCAAAGGTCATACGAACAGCCGCGGTTCATCGTAAGCATCGAGGTCAGTGCGGCGCGGTGGCATTGGTACATTAGAAACTAAAAACAAAACGTGCCAATAATACCTCGACGCATATTAGCGTACGGTTCTGTGGCCGAGCGCCACGCGGATAGCCGTCAGCCACCATACTTGTTGATTGCTGTCAGATCACTGCCGTAAAATTTTCAGTATCCATAATACACAAGTGTACGAAATGGGTCCGCGTTGTCTGATCCGCGATCAGATGGTCAGAGGCGGAGGTTGCATTTATCAGCGATTGTTGCTTTCTCGACAAGTGATGGCCGTTATATATTTGAATTATCATGTATAGATGTGACGGTTTGTTTGGTACCGTTTGCCATGTAACAGCAGACGAACGCCATATAAGTTAGCACCCGTCTTGGCCTTGCTGTAATTGCCTGGATTCGTTTTCCTGTACCATACCACATATCCGTGATAGAGCCATCGAGCACTGCTTCTGGTACACGAAGGGCTAACGATTTTCAGTAACACTAATGTGTACTTCGTAAACATTGACATGTGCGCGTATATCAAATGCATAAATACAGAGTGGGTTCCATACAGTAACCATAGCACCGTAGTCAAAACAAATTAATCCGCAACGTACCACAGACATAGCTTTAAACTTCGTACCGACAACTGAAACAAATCTGAGAGATATGCAAGTTCAATGCGCCAAAAGACACATTTCCTTGTAAGACCCTATTTGATACTATATTGTTATTTAAGGGAAAGGTAACAGGACTAATGAGCTGTACGGGTATCTAACGATGACCGAGTTAAATCAAAAACAGAACTTACGTAGCGCATTGAATGACTTGCGGAGAATGACTATGACCATGATCTTCGTTGGCGTGGCTTGAATGTCCTATGCACGCCTGAAGAACCTGTAATCGCAGAGCCGAAGGCATAACAAACACACGATAAACACGAGCCTCGAAAATGGCTAAAACTGACTGAACGACCAATGCCCTACAACGACGTAGCACTTTGGCTTGTACTGTGATACGCCGCATTGCTTAGGTTAGCAGCCAACGGCTATAGCCCCATGGCAAAGAGATAACACCCAATAAAACCGCTTATTTTCCTACAATAGTCGATATGACTAATCAGAGTGCCATATGACTCAGAAATGAAAATGATGGCGTCTGGCCAAAACTGAAATACGAAAGCACGAGTATCATTGACACTGAGAAATTCCATCATATTTTTCTATTGCTATTATTCACGAGTGGTAAGATCTTCCCGATAATTTATATCGATCAAAGCCCTTGCGGAACGATGTTGTATCCGCAGCAAACGATTCGTTACGTCTTCAGGATGCTAGTTCCGTCCAGGTAAATCTGAGTAAAGCTGACGCCGAGAAGATACACTAAATATAATCAATCATTTTTGGTTCGCAGAAATCCTACTCGTTCAACAATATAATCCCATACTTGCATTCTGAAAATGCGACAATATTTAATGTCCTTTATTGAGTCAGTTCCTTGAAGCAGTATGATACGTTCAGATTAGGTAGTCCAACTATGCTAGAGTACTCGCTACGGCAGGCGTAACGGCACACAGCTCAGCTTGGGGCGTTCAGCTCGAACTGAGTCAAGACCATAGACTAACTTTCATCTACTGCTGTAACAATAGCAAGTTCCATTCGTCGTCTGAAAATTTCGATCGGCAGATCGCGCTTTCACGGTTCGTGTTCTGTGAACAGTAGTTAAGTTCTTTAATTTATTACGAATACATACAGAACATAACAACATTCTCACACTACGATTACTTCAGTTTGAGGCACAGGGGCACCGACTAACTTTAACTTGTCAACAGACACCGAATGTCATAACAAATTCAAAGTTCGCACGTCTATCTGTACTAAATAGGTGTTCAAAATCTATATACATGTACCTGTAGTTAATTTATATGGATACGCTTCTGTCTACACGGCGTATTCCAGAAGTCTAAGCTGTCTGTTTTTATTACATGTGTATTTCTATAGGTAATTCTTATACCATACAGACGCCAGTCACGAATTATCTACATCATACAACATTTGTCCTATCTATGGTTGATAACTCACGACACGTGCTAAAAGGTATAACATGCATGTTCTCCAACTGCTACAGTTAGAATACGGATAATAAATATAATTCGCAGATTTATTAAGGCAGAGATAGAGAGCTCATACACAAGGTAAAAGCTGTTCTAAGCAGACGTCTCGTTATATTCTAGCTGCATGTACATTTATATATAACAGTTGTCAAAATTTGATACAAACCTCTTCGACAAAATAGACCGCCAGAAAACCGAGGCAAACGACGAGTTCAGTGATAGGAATTTCGAAATCATAGGCAACAAATCCGACACGAACTTCAGGTATGACGTGCAGGAACGCTGTCGCAAATAGTACCCCGCCCCTGGAATCATAACATAATCAAACAGATGAAAATACGCATGGCTGTTACGCTAACAGAAGTTCATCAGCAAATGTATCGTGATTATTGCGTAACTGTTAATAAAGTAATGATAACTGTATGAAGAAAACGGTAATTACGTGTTCGTGTCTATGTAATCTAGTTTGCCAGCCCAGCAATATGAATCTACCAGGCAACCAACTGTCTAACCTGCAGCTCTTCGTCTCTTGAACCTTGTGGAATTACAAAGCAGATTATTTTCTAACTGGATAAACATATATTGCACGTTATATATTACTGTGCCATCTGGCAAAAAGGCCAAAAAACAATTTCAATAATCATGAAAAACAAACAGATATTTTCAATGTCAATAATTATAATATCGTCTATCATAGAGGATCTACAACAAAAGTCGATATAAAACGGCATTTTCAATTGATACTATCAAGACATATCTCCGCGTCGTAATCGCCGTCACGAGCCCCGTTTACGATAACAACAGCAGCCACAAGAACGGCTGCTTTAACGACAGAAAACCTTAGCCATAGTTTACATTGGAATATACAGCAGCGCCACAAGAACGGCCGCTTTAACGACAGAAAACCTTAGCCATAGTTTACGTTGGAATATACAGCAGCGCCACAAGAACGGCCGCTTTAACGACAGAAAACCTTAGCCATAGTTTACGTTGGAATATACAGCAGCGCCCCAAGAACGGCCGCTTTAACGACAGAAAACCTTAGCCATAGTTTACGTTGGAATATACAACAGCGCCACAATTCAATAAAAATTAGTGGCCAGATCACGCGGACAACGAGTGACGATTGTTATAGTTATGTACACGACGAGTTACGGCATATAAAGGCGCATGACCTATTGTTATTATCAATCCAGAAGCTGTAACAATACACAAATGACATTTTTGTCATTTTAAGTATTTTCGGGACCGGCAATGGGCGAAAGGCGACAGCGACTTTGTGGTGAATGTGTCGTAACGACTCGCTCTATAGGGTAACAATCAAAGCGTAAATTGGACCATTTTTCTTGAGGCCTAGAGAATTTTTAAATTAGGGAGTTTTTGCTTTGATTAACCAGTTTATGGTCATAGCTGAGTCGACTTGTATTCAACGCGCGTCGTTCGCGACCTCAATCCCTAGCCATTAACACCAAAGCGATGAAAAGTGTACGGATTCTGTTCTTGATTCGATATCCTAACACAGATACATATGTACTATTGTGCAAGTCGTGATGATCATTTCTAGATTGCTTCGATATGTATCGAAGCTAGACAGCTTCGATTATCATATGGCAAACGCGTAAAATTCAAGTATATTTTTGAGCGTTGTACAGTGGCATAGCATCTGGATTGGACCCCGTTAAATACTTCTATTACGCAACAGACTCGTTTTAATTTTTCATTTCACGTTCTCTGTGCTTACATTTTGGTTTTAATGCTCGTCGAATCGAATTTTTAGCTAAGCAAAGGTTTCGAAACGCAAATTGCTATGGTCGTAAATATAAACGAACAAAGGACGAGCCTGCAAATCAGAACAGCTCATCGATACTACATCACTGTATCTGTATGTACACTGCTATACACAGATACACTGCCGATCGTCAATCATACGTAGGTGATAACAGCTGGACGAAACGGTGTCAGGTAGGTGGAAGTCTCAACAAGCGTCGCTGCTAATACAGATAGCAGTTGGTCAGTAACAACGATCTGTCTGTCCCTGAATCGGGTGACAATTTTTGAATGACACCTGTTTTCCTTAAAATAAATTGACGTCTCTCTCTCTCTCTCTCTCTCTATATATATATATATATATATATATATATATATATATATATATATATGATGCAATAAAAACTCGAAGAAAAAAAGAAGGACTCGATGGTTTCCATGGGTAATATCGGCTCGTTGTGCCAACGAGAGCGATGTCCTCTGCGGCGCTGATGGTTCAGCGCGTTTAACGGTAGCCACGACATCTCTTTACGAACTCGATATTTGCCTGCTTAGTGGTCGTCGGAACGTATTCGTTGGCTAAAAGATCTGTAACGAAAACTACGATCCCATGATCCGAGACCTTCGGATGTATGCAAGAGGTTTCCCTGTGAGGTGAGACTGTTCAGGGCTGTCGGGGAGAGTTTAACTCTAAGGGTAATTACTCATTCGTTGGAATAGTTTAGTGAAAACTACTAAGAACGAACGTCCTTGATACATTCGGCTGTACACTCGCTGACAATGTAAGCAAATGTTACAATAAAAAATTTATAACAGCTGGCCTCGAATCCAGCTGCGATTCATTCGGTCCTTTCAGCTTCTTGGAAGTTGATCATCATTACAAATAGAAATGTGTAAGGTGATAGATACAAAACAATTAGTGAAAATGGATTCTGTGTCACCTCAATTAGACATATGGTTATAGGCAACAATCCGCATCTCTATATTACCCTTGTTTTTACAAACCGTATCGCTATGGTACTGGTATTGAATATTAATTTTACTAGTAAACTGTTGTTCCGGTTGGTAGTGAACCCGGATACGAATGGACGCAGGCTGATCACTTCCTTTAGGCATGATTAATATTGGTGGAAGTGCTTAATACAGCCGTAATGACGTCTGATAATGTCTGACAAGATGACGGGGCCATATTTCGATCCTGGAGCCGATAATTAGTAGAGTAGGTCAAGCGATACCTGGTGACTCTATCAATATATGGAAAATTTTGATTTATTAGATGGGACTTGTACTGCACGTCACTCATATGACCATAATAGTACCGAGCACTTCATGCGCGTGTACCTTAAATCCTACAATTCAGTTGTTAAAATTCAAAAATAAAGACGTTTCCCATTTCCTCAGTCATTTTCATAGTCGTGACAAATGATCATAAACGGATTTGCCTGCGTATCAGCTTCCATTATGTTATTCCGGGAAAACTATGTAACTTTGTTATACCGATATGAAAAGATGATATATGCAACAGATTGTTGACTTCAAGAAAGATTTGTCCTTATCTGGGTCGGGTGGTTAAGTCGTATAACTGGTTGCTCCACCAACGTAGTAATAAATAGGTATCATCCTGTCAAGTTATCCTGTTTACCGAGTAATTACAGCAGGTAATCGAATCATATATATATTTATATATGTGACGATCTACAGTGAGTTATTAGATAATTCACAGCTGAGCCCTACGTGTAGAAATTAGAACGTGAAGCGAGCAGTTGTTGCTTTAAATGAACTGTAAAGTTCTTGTTATATAAATGATAATCCCACCTCTGGACAAATGTTCGGTCAGTGTGAAAAGACTGTTTTCAATTGCTCAATCCTCTACTGGAGCTCTTGTTACTATACAACGATACGTATAGCAGGCGCGAACGAGCAGATCATGGGATTAAATATGACATTATTAGTTTATTTCCTGTTTTTTTTTCTCATATCAATTATTGATTATAAGAGCCTAGGATGCGCTCTTTGTAAAGCAGTGTCTGTCTAGAGTGATCCCCGCGGCTCTAGTTATTACGCATCGCGTCACAGATGCAGTAAATATATTCCCGGGTTACCTTCTATTTACTAATAGACTTCTATTTTCTTTTTGTTAAATGTAAATCGAAGTACGATGTAATACGCAAGTCATTAGCGCCAAAAAAAGAGCTCGATCTGTCGAGCGTAGAATTATAGAGATGGCAATAGTAAACTTAATGAAACGCAAGCATGATATTTATGCTCACAGGAATTAATTGGGCGAAAAGATACGACCCACTAAATGGGTCGTTCACAAAACAGTAATTGCGAATACGCCCGCAGGGTATCCAAAACGTGTTGTTACTATTACATTACAGCGAAGCGTAACAGTTCCACTCACTTTAAAACTTGTGTGTCAGGACAGTAACTGGATACATTTGAGTGAGCGTCGCTAAAAATGCTTCATTTACACCTCTGCATCCATCTCGAGAGTGGTCCAACGCTCTTTGACACCGACGGTCTTTTTAGGGGCAAATCAATAGTTGTCAACGGTAATATGTCGCTGCCCATTTATATTGTAACACATAATTTCTGCTAATCGAGCTACTCGGTTCCGTATCACAGTAGCGAGGCGCTGTTGTTGATTTACGGTGCTCGTGCAAAACTGTATACGACGCTCAGTTCATATGAAACGTCTGCTGAGCCAGGATCGGCCGAACGTTTTCCATGTCGAACAGGAAAAGAATAAATTTCCATTTCATACCCGGTCCGCAGTGTCCTACCTTCCTTCGTCCAGCTGCATATTTAATCCATTTAAGTTTTCCAATCTCCTGTAGATAAGTGCTAGCCTGCCTATTATTCAAGTCTGAGCAAAGAAAAAATGCTCCTTCGTGGGAGCCCCATCCCTGAGCTTTCTACAAACAAAAACATCAACGCCAAATACATATTCATTCGCACACTACGACACATCCATGCATACAACACATAGATACTTGCTATGGTAATATTTACTAGCCACACGTTCAAAGTCAATGCTAGAAGCAGAAAGCCAGCGAAAAGGCCTCGCAAAGAATGCCTGCCCTTGAATGCCCATGCCCCGACACTCATCCGCCGGTTGGCGGGCCCGTCATCGGATGAATTGGTTAAGCCAGAGCGGCAAGGCTGCATCAGTCGCCAAAAAGGAACCATCATCTCTGACACCACTGGTGAGGGCCAACAAGAAGCGGAGACAACAAACCGAAACTTAAGTCTCTTTCATACGACTTTTGGATCGGTACCGAGCAGCAGACGACTAACCAGCGAATGAAGCTGTCGGAACGTCAAAATCTTTTTCCAAATGCAGAAAACAAAAGGAGTGCCTCCAACAGGCAAAAACAAGCGCTTAATGTGCCGGCTCCGCGACTACATAGTTCTGTTGCTCAGTTCACGATGAATGAAATTTATTTAGTAGCGGTTGAATGTGGCCTGTATCGATGGCGCTGCCACTGCTACCGTAAACTCTAACGCCTGTTCGAAAATGCAACAACGTTTATTC